TCCATTAAAGAGTTATATGTCGATTTCGTGATACATTTCAAGATGGTGCGCGAGAAATATCCTAATTTGTTGAAATGTGTTGAAAGCACAATTCTTGATTAGGTGAAGGAGAAAATTGTTTGTGCATGGACCGATCAGGTTAGACATCTTAGGAATACAACAACAAACCGAGTTCAGTCTGCCCATGCTACATTTAAGAATTAGTTGGGAAATAGTAAGGATGATTTGTTTAGAGATTGTGAATCCGTGAACCAAATGATTCAGAACTAGCTTAATGAGATACATACATCATTTGGTCGAAGCATCACAATTTTGGTACATAGATTTAAAGACAACAATCTTTATTTTCAGTTGGTTGACAACATATCTCGAGTAGATTTGAATTATATTTTTCACAAAGCTAAACGAGGGCTCCGATAGCACAAAGTATGGATGCACAATTGTGAAAACATATGTCTCCCGTGTGCTTGTGTTATTGCAAAGAAGGCAAAACTTTTTAGCCCGATAAGAATTGATGAGGTTTGAATTCATTGGAAGAGACTTAGGTTTAATGATGATGGTGTCATGAAAGACGGTAAATTGAATATCTCTATCTTGATCAACGAGAAGTGATACAAGAGAGATTTTTGAAAGTCGATGACAATATGAAACTCCACATCAAAGAACAATTAAGGAAGATTGCTTATCCAGAAAACACCGGATTAAAACCACCTACCAACCGGTAAAAACAAAAGGTGCTCCGAAGAAGCTCAAGCCTATATCGAGTGACAATTCAACGGTGCGGTCTTCTTCGCATTTTGAACATGTTGACAAAGTTTTTCCAGACCCACCAACTCTAAAATCTCAAAAAAGTATTTTCAAACGAGCTCGCATTAGCAAACTACCTCCTTCGCCGCCTCCACCAAAGATTTCATTCACTGACGAGATGTTGGTTTTTATGCACAAAAACATCGAATGAATCGTCAATATTGAGGGTGACGATAATTGTGGTTATCGAGCTGTTTCGGATTTACTCGATAAAGAAAAAGATAATCACACACTTATCTGCCATTAACTTATCCATAAGTTGAGGACTTATAAAGAATCATACACACAACTTTATGAAAAGAAGGAAGCTTTGATGCAATTTAAGAATCTCTCATTCCTTGCATTAGTGGACCGACACTGAAGATAAAATGGATGCGCTTCTTTGAAATGGGTCACCTCATAGCATGTGTGTATGATAGAATGTGTATTGATCTTACACGATACGATTTTTCAGAAACCTTTTTCCCACAGTGCACCGTCCAACCTCAAAATCCAAACGATCGTGTTATGTTTATTATGTGGCTTTCAAAACACGACACTTTTTTCAAGTTTACTTGAAATCGGGATGCCATATACCACTTAGATTACCAGAGTGGGCAACTCATTCAACAACAGAAGTCGAGACTTGATCGAATCATTTTGTGGAAATGATGCAAGAGTTCGAGAAATTGAGCAACATTGAAAGAGAATTAAATGCACAAAAGTCAAAAGGGGTACCATCAATAGATTTACCCGTCGACAAATCTTTCAATTCGTTTTAATCTTCTGTTTAGCCGGACAAATAAATGTAAGTAAGAGCATCTCAATATTAATGAAGTGTAATATATACAATTTCTTAATATTTTAATACATGTTTTTTTATCTTTGCCAAAATATTTGTTCAGTTTCCAAACAAATTCATCAATTAGGTTCTGTTTTTTTTTCCTGGTTCATTATGTTTGGTTCAGGAGAGATTCTGAAGATGTATATCCGAAATAAGACAATAGGGCGGTACCGGATATGTATCTTCGAAACCAGCATTGATGCTTGTTAGAATTTTTGTGGTCCATATTTGTCTACAACTTCTATAAATTTAGGGAGTCTGCTTTTTTATTTCACACAAACAGAAAATGTCTCAAATGTCACAAATGGTACAAATGTCTCCTTCTCCAGCACAACACTCGGGTGAACGTTTAAGCTCAATGAGTACACAACTTTTGCGAATTTGAAAAACAAAGTACATAATCTCCTACCTTACGAAGACAATCGAAAAATTATCAAGTTTGAGTATCATTCACCGTTGATTGACAACGGAGGAAAGATTAAGTTCAACAACTTTGAGCTCAAGACGAATGTAGGTGTAAAAGCCATGTGGAATACATTTTTCTATTTTGAAATAAAAATCCCGCTCGAGTTGGAAGCTGCAGTTTCAAGATTTGTCGAAGATATTATGAAAATGTTGAAACGTTCACTTGGATATTAAAATGTAATGTTTTATTTTATGTTGAAATCACCTATGTAATGTTGATTTTATGTTATGAATGATAATTTTATTTTGTCTAAATACAAGTTTCTGGTTTTTGTCTCTGATATTGGTGCACATATGTTACAGAAATATATCTATGGACAGATTTCAGAGATACATCTTCGTATTTAAAAAAGCGCAACTACTAGGACGTCACTTAAAATAGTCTAGATTGTGGACGTATTAGATACGTTTGAAAATATATCTCTAAAATTTGAAGATATTTTAATATTTACACGTAATGTATTAGTAATATATAGGATACATTAACAAATTTCCTTATTTAAAAAAAAAATTCTCCATAATACTCATGCTATTGTTCTTTGTCCAATAATGAGATCCCATTGAGATCCAATAATTTGTACTAAAGGTGATGGTTAGACTAAAGGTGATGGCTAACTAAATCTTTGTATTGAAAATATTCTTGACAGTGATAGTAGTTAGACAATATGTATATTATCGTGTGATATCAATGACGTGGAAGTGTATGAGCATGAAATTTTTCACGTGTAGGGAAAACCATTCTAGATGAATGACAAACTCTCACTTGAAGAGATTATTGGAGTACAAAAATAAGTAAGAAGTGTGACTAGATCCAAATGGAGATATTAAGCATTATATATGTGAAGGATTTCATACACTCAATACTTTATGATTTAGTGTTAAATTATTTATGAATGGTTGCTCTTAAATCAACATGGAGATATATCTAATATTCTATGCTCTCCTCAAATTAAGACCCAATATATCCCGAATGTGAAACTTCTTCAATCACCGATGTCAAGATTAAACCATCTTTTCAATATAGGTCTTGTCTAGTACTCAAGTACATCAAGTGCAACAATCTCATACAGTATTATCAATCTAAGAGTTGTGCCATAAATTGAATTTTTCACAGCTTTGCCACTATTTGAAACATAATATACCATATTGCCACAAGTTGGAAAATATTTGCAAAAATGCCACATAAGAAAGGGTTCGTCCAACCAATGGACGACCCATTGAGGCCCATAGGACGCAGCAAGGGTTCGGCCATCCATTGGCCGACCTGCTCTGCTATTTTTTCTTTTTTTTCTTTCAGAATTATTTATATATTATTTTTAGTTTTTAATAGTTATTTATATATTTAAATGACTTAAATAATATTATAAATTAATAAAAAAATAAATTAATTATTATTTATTTTATGATTTCATTTATTATTTTATATTATTATTTATTTTAACAATTAATTAGATAATGTAAAAAATATTTTCTAATATCATAAAATTATTTAATCTAATTAAATTATTTATTAACATAAAATATGAATTAATTAATTTTACTATTAATATAACAAGTAATTAAATAATGTGAAATATATTTATTTTTTTATTAATATAAAATATTATTTTAGACATTTAAATATATAAATAACTATTAAAAACTAAAAATAATAAAAAATAATATATATTTAATTCTGAAATAAAAAAAAAGAAAAAAAAAAAGAGCAAGAGCAGGGTCGGCCAATGGATGGCCGAACCCTTGCTGCGTCCAATGAGCTTCATTGGGTCGTCCATTGGTTGGACGAACCCTTTCTTAGGTTGTGGCAATTCTGAAAATATTTTTCAACTAGTGGCAAATTGGAATATTACTTTTCAAACAATGGCAACTTAGTAAAAAATTTCCATAAATTTTCTATTTAGCTTTCAGTAGTATTATTTTATCGCATAAAACGAGTTTTTACAACTGTCACATTTTAAAATGATAAATATCATAATGTCATAGTCTGGAAAAAAATTGCAAAACTGCCACATTTTTAGTATGGGTTCGTCCAACCAATGGACGACTCAATGAAAGTTCAAATTTGTAGTTGGAGTTCGGCCATCCAAAGGCCCATCCTATACTACGTGTTTTTTTTTGTTTTGTTTTTTTAAATAAATATATAATATATATTATTAATTTATATTTTTAATTGTTTTTTATATATTAAAATTTGTTATATGATTTAAAATATTATTTAATAAATAATTTAATTAATTTAAATAATTTTTTAATATTTATTAAATATTTTTCACATTATGTAATTATTTATTTCTTTTTCAAATGATTTTGTCTGAGCTTGCACGGCTTGCAACCCAGTCAGCCACCACATTACCCTTAAGGGAAGGGAAAGATGAATTGTCCAATATCACTCACAAGATGCAGACAGAATACATGTTAATTTGAATTACACACACAATAAGAGTGCAACAATCCTTGTTTCTTGTTCTCTTTTTTACTGGAATCCATGTCTCTTGCATAAGTACTAATAAAAAAGGCTAGGGAGTGTACTTAATTACTCTGCAAATGCCTAGGGGGACAAGATTCACTTATTGAAAAACTAAATGAATTAAACTTCTTTAATAGGCAAAATAAATGAACCAGTTTGGTTAGACAAAAACTACTTGTTGCCAATTTCTTTGGAAATAACTAGAAGCACCCCACTTCTGCAGATCTAAATCAATTTCGATAATTAAAAAATAAATAAGATTGTTAGCTCAAGGAGAAATCTGTCAAAAATAGACACCTAGACACTATTGTATCCTCAACTTTTCTTGTCACTGCATAATCATTGCAGAACAGTGAAGATAATCATCATGTAATACTGCACAGCAATCAGTTTCTTACCACAAAACTGCAAAATGCATTGGCAGGTTCTGATGCTGGTTTATTCTGAATTCAAATTCCAAACACGAATGCAACTATCTTCTCCTGAACTCACAACTCTTTCATTCTCAGTAAAAGTCAAGCCGTAAACTCCACCTAAATGAGCACCTTTTATGGTTCTGCGGCTTGATGCTGGCTTTCCGATTTCATATATAATGACACATGTATCAAGTGATCCAGTAGCTACCAATTTACTATCGGGCGACCAAGCAATGCAGTTTATACGTGCAGTGTTAAACAGCATATTATTAAGAACCACCTGCAAAAGGAAATGGAGATTTATTCACATGATTTCAAAAGTTATGACAAAAACAAGTACACACCATGACAGATAAAGCAATAATACTGCAATCATGAAGAGAATAAGTCATATATTTCTCATTTAAAATAGGAAAATTTGGTATAGGGCACACCAAAGTATTCAAGAATAAAACATTTGAGCTCCATGTTACAGCTGTCTCAGGCTCAAGTTACCTCTCTAGAAGCACAGTCCCACACAACAGCTTCACGATTCAGATCAGCCGATGCGAACATGGAAACGTCTGGAGAATATCTGATTGCGCTAATTGCACCTCGGTGCTTCTCAAGAACAGTTTGTTCTGTAAGTGTATCTCCTGAGATGGAATAAATACGCAGCTTACCATCTTGCCCACCTACAATTGCTTCACTGCCATCAGGTGAAATAGTACACGCAGTGACAACAAAGCCAAGGTTTGCCGTGGTGACAATTTTTGCACCGTCAAGCAAGACAACCCCGGACTCAATTGCAATAAGAGCAAGATTAGGTGAATTAAGTGCAAGGCCCAAATCCTTAGCCTGGCTTCCAATATCAACTTCCTCAGCTGGACCAAAACCATCCCCATGAAGAGGAACTCTGTATACCTACATTTTAATACATGTAAGTTTATGTACTGTCAATTGAGGCCAAAAGCCATCGGTGATTAAAATAAAAAGTTCTATTTTCAACCATTTATGAAGACAACCAAATGAAAATTTGTTCCCTTGATGCTTTAAATTTTAGAAGGGTCCTGATAACATGTACTCAGGGCACTAGTTAATGAAGCCAAAAATAGAAGTTTTGTATTAAAAAGAACAATTTTTCAACATCTTAAAAACAAACACATCGCTTTCGAACACAATTACTAAATTTGTTTCCTTAACCAGTGTCCTAAGGGCATTCGTTAGCATTTTACATTTTAGAATCAACAAAATCAACATGTTCTCAACTTTTATTATACTTTACATTTAGCTTTTAAATATCTGTTAATTCGTTATCTACTGTAAAATGCACTATTAGCAACGTATTGTTTTACAGATCTTCAAGAACAAAATCATCATTGAAGATTATTAAAACAGTTGCAAAAATCAGAAGCCTGGATCTAGATTCACACCTAACGCCAGTTCAACCTCTAATACAATCAACATACTTGATTTTTCTTGTACTTTCAGGATAATACATGAACACAAAAAAAAACTACCTAGTTCCTACCAGATGTAACTACATGCAATTAGAAATATTTGAATTTGTTTAACGAATAAATTAGCAACCAGAGTGACAATAGAAGTATAGTTTCACTTCAGTGTTTGATATGCACATCAATGACAGAACAGATGAGCATAAAATGAATCTAGAGGTTATTTTTGGTGCTTGAAAAACAAAGAGCCCATATGACACATATATATCAGTTACCTTGTTGTCAAATCCAGAAGTAACAACTTCTTCTTCAGCAGCTGCTAACAATTTGATTAATCCAAATTGTTTACCGTCAAACTTACCACTGTACCCAATGCCTGGAATCCATCTAATGATTACTCCATCATAGCTGCTGGACAAAAGCATCTTTTCACTTTTGTTAAGCAGATTCAAAACGGTGATATTCTTCATGTGACCAGATAAAGATTTTGGACTTTGATCTAGATCTTTAGAAGTGTATAAATAAATCGTGCCACCAAGGGAGATAGTAAGCAGATGATCATTTTGCCAAAGACAACCAACGAGCATGTCTTCCACCCCACCAGATTCAGTATGTGCCAATGTCTTGTGTACTGTTCCACTACCATTCTCATCAATATCCCATACTTTTGCAGACTTGTCAGCAGACACTGTAAGAACCTGTAGTTTTTTATATTTAATTTAAACTACAATGTAAATAGCATCCCTGAACATCTAAAATAGCACAAATAAATTCATAACATTTTCCTCATTACATCTAAAACTACAATGTTTGTATGAATATGTATATAGTTATTAAGCTCTTGACAATGCCAAACAAGTGCAATATCGTTTTCACATAGCAATCTTAAGCTTATGCTTCAATTCTGGCTAAAAGAAGATGAAATTTTTATCCAAATCAACATAATAAAACAGTAACATTCAAACACAACCTGGAGTTCACCTGTTTACTGTCAGGACTCCAACTAACAGCATATATGCTGCCCTTGTGACCATCCTCTTCGGAAAACTCTCCAAGTTTATTCCCAGTCTTTCCATCGTATATAATACCTTTCCTGTCTGAGCTAACTGTAATAAATTTGCTCCCATCTGGAGAATATCTAACACAATTGACGAAATTCGTATGGTCCCTGCAGATATAGAATGTCTTCTATGACAACCTGAATAGGGAAATAGAAACCTACTCAACCCAAAATACATATTTCATGCTAAGACACGACCCTATTCTCATATGTAAAAAATTGATAATGTCATGACTTCATAAAACTATAATGAAGTTATCTTTATTGAGTCCTTGTTAAAAACCATGTCAACTTATATAAACATTCCAATACCTTAGGAAAATACATAACACCATTTTTTGTGTATTCAATTGGACATACAATAATAGGAAATTATATTATACTACTACTACCCCAAAAAAGAAGCCAAGGGAACGGATAAGCTCATTTTCATATATAATTTGAAGAATTCATCTATTGCTTATACAGAAACAAATGTGCTACAACAGATAATAACATTTACCTGATGGACATACTGAACTTGAAAGGCGGACCTTCATAAAAATTTGCTAAAAAATCTTCACCACAGGTGACAATGCGGAATGGCCTTGTTGGTTTGAACGTGCAACTTAATACCCGTCGCGAATGGCCGTCAAAATCACCAACAGTGGAACCTGAATCCCACCTTCAAATTCAAAATATTTTAAAGATAAAAAGGGGAGGTCAAGAGAAAAAAATAAAAATCAGGAAGGAAGAACATTAAGACATGCATACAGTTAGCCAATTCTTAGAAAAGAGGAATTAATATGACAATCTGCTACTAATTTACATTCAAGCCTTATTATCGAAGACGTGTAAGTGTCGTGTTTCCGGTTTCAGTGTTTCATAGATAATGAGATATCAACTATTCGATTCAAATTTTTATATTTGCACATGAACATTTTATTATTATGAAAAGGATAAAGGTAGTTACATAAAGGCGCGAACAAATGATTTTCCCTTTCCATCTCCACACGCAACGATCCTCTGGCAATCAGCGGACCACTGAAGATCATCGATCCGACCAGAGAGAACTCGAAACTCGTTCTTGAGGACATAATCATTGTGCGTCCCCCAGATACGTATGGTGCCGGAGACATCAGCCGACGCGATCCATTCACCGTTGGGGGAGTACCGTGCGACGGTGACAGGATAAGGATGTTCGCCGTAAACGGAGACTTGTAAGGGATTATCGAGGTTACGAATAATGACGGACCGCGCGGTGCAATAGAGAATGTTGTTGGTTTTGGGATCGCCGGAGATAAGAATGCCGCGGCCTCGTTCGGTGGAAGGTGCACAAGCGTAGGTTTCAGAGAGAGTTGCCATTGTGGAAATGAGAGTTGCGTGCAGTGCAAGTGCAGTGGTTATGGTTTGTTATGGTGTGTTGAGATTTTTGTGTGGTAGAGATAGAGAGAGAAAGTGAGTCCGGGAATGAAGGAAGATGTTTGAACAAGTTGGCGGGTAAACCGAATCACGACTCTGCCTCCATCTTCAACCACTCCTTTTCATTTTACTTTTTTGTTTAATTATTACTATTAATAATTAATTAAAAGATAATTTTTGTGAGTTTTATTATTAAACCCTCTGATAAAAAATGTTGCATGAGGAGATTTACAGAAAATTGTTAAATATAAATTTAAACCACTGTTGAAAGAATATAGTTAATTGGTCTATGTCATAAATTAAATTAAAAGTACTTTTGATACTATTGATTCTGCTATTTCGGTGAGTAACAAACATCAAACTATTAATTTGTTAAATAAAAAATTATTAAAAACGCATTATAGAGAAGGCTATCGTTATATACATCAAAGATTAATTTAAATAGTTATAAAATCATTACATAAATTAGGGTCAAACACCCCTATATAGTTAGTTCTTCGAAATACTAGAATTAAAGACTTTCATAATTCAATTATTGTTATAGTTGAATTAAATCTTAACGATGGTCCAGTCTACTTTAACTGTCATCCAAATTACTCTATAAACTTAGTTGATGAATTCACTAAGAGCTCATTAGTTATATATGTTCAAGGTCTAAGGGATAATTTTACTCCTAAAGTTGTCAATATTGATGTTATTAGTAGAATTACCTACAAAATCTTTAATGTTAATTATGATTTTAAATCACTTAAAACTACTCTAAGAAATGAAAATATTGTTATTGATGCAAATCATAGTAGGTCCAATTTTATGACCCTAAAGATACTGACTGCTTTAGAAATTATAGAAATTCTTCCTAAAGAATGGATATTACAAGATGTGGTTAAATCTGACAAGATTAAGGCCAGAACTATTAGAAATATTATTCGGGATATTGATGGATCAGTCAAGATTAAGATGAATAAAAGTCAATCGTATCGCTATCATCAATCTAGCAGTATTGGATCGACATCCAGTGTTAGATATTCAGTTAATTCTACAATTAGAGTAAATCTTGCATGAGTAAACTTTGCTCATACAATTTCCCAACCAATATACTCGGAGAGAACCTCTAGGTCGTCTTCTCTAATTGAATCCCAAATACTAGGTGTTAGTATAAATGACGAACCATTTGTCACAGACAAAGCTTGGATTATGGCTAAATTTGAGACATTTTACAATTTAGAGAAGAGAAATTAGTATTCCTCAATTTTGTCTAAAGGTTAGACTCAAATGTATTTGCAAAAATTTTATAGGTTGTTGGAAACCCATGAATTAATATCTATTTCTTTACATGGTTTGAATTGTTGTGTTTAAAAGAAGGGATAGAAAACCATTTTGCTGTTAAGATGTACTTAGATGCTAATGTTAGCTAGGATAAGTACCACATGGAAAACTTTTAGGAAAGAAGTTATAGAATCGGTTCATCCATCTTTAGAAGCTATTAAAATTACCACCTCTAAGGAAAATATAGAAATAGAAGCTTCACCATTTAAATCTATAGCTAATCTGTAGATCAGAGAAAAGACATTAATAATCTACATAATCAGATAAATTATTCAAACCGAATACTTCACATTATGTCCCAACAATTAGATAGGATATAAAACTCTATCCATCAACCTAATAATGTTAAAGACTATAAATTAGATCCTACCCGACCTATTTATCAATACCAAACTCCTTCTAATCAAAAGTTGAAAGGAATGATTTTAGGTTGTGATACTAATCATAAAATAGAGGAATTAGTTGCTAAATAAAAAACCTTAAACACAGAAACTTCTTCAGGAGAGACAAATACTTTATCTCAAGATGAAGAATACTCAATATAGTGAGCAAATTAGGTGGTAGAACCCCAAGACCTAAAACCCAAAACTATTATCTCAGACCTTCATTTGTTGATGTGCAGTTTGAAGAAAGAAGTAGTTTTGTAGAAAATGATTATTCATGAGTCTGTTGTCGAGTGGAACATTGATGGTGCATCTAAACAACAAGTTTTAGATACAATACAAAACATGACTATGGATGCTATTGCCTTTAAACTCAAAGGAAATACGAACAAACATATTAAAGAGATATTAGTTATGGGGTTTACATAACAATTATAAGGATGGCGGGATAATCTTCTTAGTCTAAAAGATAAATACAAATAAATTCAGATATGAAAACAGAATCTAACGAAGAGATTTGTGTTACAACTCTCTTATATGCTATTACTAAGTTATTTGTAGGAGAACCTCTAAAACTCCAACAAAAAGCAGCAGACTAATTACTAAACCTTTGTTGTCAAACCATGTCTGATTATAGGTGACATATAGATATGTTCTTATTCAAACTCTGCCTTAAGTCGGATGGTGTTGTAGATTATTAGAAAGAAAGATTTATTAGTGGTTTACCTAGGTTATTTACAGAAAAGATAAAAATTAATATTATACAAAATTTTAATGGAACAATTCCATATCCGTTATTAACCATAGGGGAATTATCTAATTATGTAATCGAAACTGGTATACAAATTTGTATAGATTATAAATTACAATATAAGGTTAAAACTAAAAAGGCTAGTAATAGGTGCGAAATGGGATCATTTTGCGAGAAATATGAAGCTACTCCTTTAAGAGCTCCGAGTAACCCCGAAAATGAAAAACTGCTAGTAAAGGAAGGAAAAACTTCCATTATCATAAGAAGCAATCTTACAAAGACAATTCACAATTTTATAAAATTAGCTTACAAGAAAAATTATGGTAAGAAACTGATCTGGCCTGATCAGAAGGGGATCACGGGTTGGCCACACGCTGTTGGACTGCTACCTGTTCACCGGTGATGAGGAGGAGAAGGGGGGTATACCTGCAAAACACTCCGATGCCAAAGTAAGGAGTTGGGCAAAGTGAGAGCAAAGTACAGAAGATGGGTGAAAAGTGAATTACCTGACCCTCTTGAGGAAGAGGGTATTTATAGAGAGACCCCAACGATGGGCCAACGGTCACTTGCGTTGGGCTGGATTGTCAGGCCCAACCCAGGTGACTGCTAGGGCTTACATGGCGTAGTGAAGACCAGGACGTGGTCTTCGCCCTAGTCCAACTGTCCCGAGATCTCCGGAAAGTGGGTTTGACCTGCTCTTTCGGAGGTGGGCAGTTGGGAGGATGACGTGTCCCCGCGGAGGGGGCACGTGGAGAACGTGCGGCTGGCACGTCGTTCTCCCCGCGGAGGGGAGCTCGAGGGACTCCCCGAGGGCACGTTGTTCTCCTGCGGAGGGGAGCTCGTGGGATTCCCGGGCGGTATGTGGCTCTCCCCGGTGGGGGAAGCACACGAGAGTGGGGAGGACGTATCGTCATGCCCGTTGGTCGGGGGATTCTGTCCGTGGAGGTCGTCCTGTCCGACTAGGGGGAGCGCCGAGGACAATTAGAAGCAAGTCGTCCGGCTTGGCAGGGAGCGTATCCTGCCCGTCTTGTGGGGGTTGCGCGTCCGGTCAAACTGCTCTACTTATTGGGCCTTGCGCGTTATTGGGCTGGACCGCGAGGCTGGGCCCAGGCCAGAACAGAAACCTTACAAAAAACACAATAGTAAATCTAAACCTAAAGGCAATTATTTAGATGTTATAAGTGTGTTCGTTTTGACTTTTGACCATTATGCTGATAAATGCAAGGTTCAAGAAAAAATCAATCAACTCAGTAACTTAGACATTTTAGATAATTAAAAGAAAGTTTAACAACTACTTTAAATAACATCTTATTGAACTCGGAGGAAGAAACTTTTCATCCTCTGAAGAATCTTCATACGAAGAAATACATCAAATTAATAATTCTGAAAAATCATATTTTGATGAATGTTTGAGTCTAGATTTCTGCAATTGTGACAATTGTAACACAATAATTAATGTTTTAACAAATAATCAAGCTAATATCTTAATAGGAATATTAGACAAAATGAAAAATTCAAAAAGCAAAAATGCTTTCATGAGACAAATTAAAAATATTATAGATGAAAATGACATTTGTAAAAAGAATATTGGTAAAGTAGAATTTAAAAATGTTATGGAATTATTTAAGAAATCAGTTAAAAAGACTATCTCTATTAAAGATTTACAAGAAGAAATTAATAATTTAAAAAATGAAATTAGAACTCTAAAACTCAAGATGATGAGATAGAAATTAAATTTTTAAAGTTACAAGGAAACACGACTATTCATAATCAAGTCAATCAAAATTTATTAGCCTCATCTACCTTAACCAGAAATAATGAGGAAACTACTGTTTTGAATAATGATGTTGGTTGTAATAACAAAATAACGAAATTAATATCCCACAAATAGTATAGTAAAATAAATCACATTGTTAAAGATAAAACTTATGAATTAATTGCTTTGATAGATTCAATAGCAGATTTAAACTGCATCTAAAAAGGGTTGATCCCAACCCAATATTAAAATCAAAGAATCCTTAAGAGCAGTTAATGGTAATAAATTATAAGTTTTTTTTTTACAAATTATCAAGTGTTAAAATCGGTAAAGATCAAATTTGTTATAGAACCTCTTTTCTTTTAGTAAGAAATATTCATGACTCCATTATTCTAAGAACTCCTTTTCTAGCTTTACTTTACCATTTCACTCTTAATAATGCATCTATAACCACTAATGCTTTAGAGAATGAAGTTAAATTTGAATTCTTAGAACCGCCTAAGATTAGAGATCTTAACTATGTCTAGAGTAAGATTATATCATTTATTAATCAAATTAATAATAATAATAATAAATAAAATAAATAAATTTTATTTATAAGAAAATACACTATAAAAAAGACAATATATCAACTTCAATTTCTAAATATTCAAGAAAAAATTAATGATATATAAAATAAATTTATAAAAGATCTTTGTAGAACAACCTAATACTTTCTAAAAAAGAAAAATGCACACAATCTCTTTACCTTACGAACCTAACTTTAAGGAAACAAATCTCCATACTAAAGGCATACCAATATAAATGAATAAACAATATTTAGATTATTGTAAAAATAAAAATAAAAAAGATTTCTTGGACAAGAAATTGATTAGGCCTAGTAAGTCTCCTTGGAGTTGCTTCTCATTTTATGTTATTAATGCTTCTGAGCTAGAAAAAAAAAAGTCATCGGTTAGTAATAAATTACAATCTTTAAACAAAGCATTACAATAGATTAGGTATCTCATACCTAATAAAAAGGATTTTATAGACATATTACATGATAAAAATATATTTTTAAAGTTTGATCTTAAACCTAGATACTATCAAATACAATTAAAAGAAAAGATAAATATAAAACGCTTTTGTGGTGCCCTTTGGTCACTATGAATGGAATATCATGCCATTGGGATTTAAAAATCCTCTTTCTCTGAGTTCCAAAATATTATGAACATTGTATTTAATAATTAATCTCACTTCACCATAGTTTACTTAAATGACTTATTAGTATTTTCATATTATATAAATCAACATATACAATATATGAACAAATTTTATGAGATAATTAAAGAGAATGGGTTAGTTTTATCTAAAAATAAATTTAAAATATTTCAATCTAAAGTAAGATTTTTGGATTTTGATATTTCTCATCCCCATTAGTAGATCTTTGGAATTCATTAATAAATTTTTAGACGAATTAAAAGATAAAATTTAGTTGCAAAGGTTTTTAGGTTGTATAAATTATGTGGCTGACTTTATACCCGACTTAAGAAGCATTTGTATACCATTATTCAAGAGACTTATCAAGAATCCTCTTTTTTTGGGATAATTCAATGATCAAAAGCATTTTGCAATTAAGGCATATAGTTAAAAAAATTATCCTGTTTAGGAATAATTGATCCTAGAGCCAACCTTATTATTGAAACGAATGCCTCAGACATAGGTTTCGGAAAAGTTCTAAAACAAATACTTCCGAGCATGGAAAAGGAACAAGTTGTCAGATATTACTGTAGAACTTGTAACTCACCTCAGTTAAACTATAGTACTGTTGAAAAAGAAATTTCATCTATCGTTTTGTGCATTACAAAATTTTAAGATTACTTGTTTTCAAAAACATTTTTATTAAAAACAGATTGCAAAGCTGCAGAAGGTGTTTTACAAAAAGATGTTAAAAATTTAGTTTCAAAACATATATTTGCTAGATGGCAAGCATTAATTTCTTGTTTTGATTTTGAAATCGATCATATTCAAGGAATTAAAAATTCATTACCAGATTTTCTAACCAAAGAATTTTTACATAGAAAAATGAGTAGAAAAATCAGTTAGCCCTAGAGATGATTATGATCCTCCCATTAAAGATAAAAAAGATAAGAAAATAATTTTAGGTTCTCCATCTTTTATTTCCAAAGTTACTTCTCCTATTACTTCTACTCCTCTGATAACTATTAAGCCTATTTTATTAACTCCATTAGCTTTTACCTCTCGAATTACAGGCTCATTATCTATCTAAAAAGCCCACCCCTCTAAATTAGCCTATTACACTTCCCCTTCTTCCTTACCAAAATTGACCTTTATTATCAAAGATTTGTCTATATAAATATTACCTTTAGAAACACTTTATTATCCTCCAAACTCCTTGTTATTACAAAATGTTTCAAGAATTTTTCCTCCGGGAATTTTCTTCATTCCTAAAGACCAAACCAAGACTAGAAAATTCTATGAATTTATCTTGGTAGATTATGAGTCTATTACTCTTACCCATCAGACATATCAGAATGAGAAATCTAAAAATAAAGTCTCTAAATTCAAAATTAATAAGGTATTATTATCTCCTTCTAATTAGAAACAACCTACATCATAATTAAAATCTTTTTCTAGAACCTTTACTCCACAATATTATTCTTACTTTGATTATATAGACGCTTGGTTCGATTTTTTATTTATTGAACCTTTCAACCATACCTCGTTTATATGGTTCAACAAAGATATTTCAGTTAGCTTTCCTAATTGATTTATCAGGTGGTTCAGAGTTGTTGGGCCAATTTTAGAAATATTTTATGATTATGCCTCAAAGGCATTTAACAATTTTACAGAAAAAACTATTTGTCCTTATTGTAAGTCTTTATTATGTTTTTGTATTGTATTTGGAATTACGTGGATTTCATCCCGAATTCGAATTTGATTATGACGACCATTTTCTTTTTCTTTTAATTATTTTATCGATATTTTATTTTTTTCTTCTTTAGAATAAATAAAGTTTGATGGTGACTCTGTTCAATCATTTTCGCGAGCGCGCGAACACTCGCGGTGTCGTATTTTTCAAGATGCGGCAATTGCCTATCCAACTATAGACTTACTTTAAACAATTGTGAACTTTTTTCTTTCAAATCTTCCGAATGAGTTGAAGAATTTGAAAAAAAATTCTTGAACCCGTGAATTTGTTTTAATTGTCTTCTTTGCCATAAAAAGCTAAGAGCATTCACTTGAGAGTTGAGTAAAAGTTAAGTTGGGGCGAATGAAAAAGGAAGATAGTAGGTTGTTACAACTTTTGAAAAATTCAAGCAAACACCAAAAAAATTGTGTGAATATGAAAAAAAAAAGAGAAAAGAAAAAGAATGCTTGCTTGGAAAAGAAAAATAGTGAAAGAATAAGTTGTGAAATAAGGTTTGTGAAGGTCTGCAACTAAGAAACAAATGGAATGAAGTTGAGGTGTGTAAATAACGTGTTTGGTGAATGTCTCTTTTGCATCGGCAATTTCGTTTCAATGGCCTTAGAAATGTCCCTTGTTTGTAAACCTAACCAAACTATAACCTTAAAGACCTTAGTGATCTTCTTGCTTCCATATTTTCGCTTTTGATTGTTAGATTTTATACGAATTGAATTGATATTGGCATTGTTTGTTAGTTGAGTGAAATTGTCTCTGCGGTTGCAAACGCGTAATTTCTTCAATCCTTATTCGAAGAGGAGAGATAAAGTGATTCATTCATGAAAAATATAATTGTTGATTGATACATGTCTTAATATTTGTTTTAAGAATTTAGTTCTTGTGCATTGTTTGATTCTAAACATTTGAAACCATGGCTTGTTTGCATCATTTGTGTTGAGCCAATTTTATCCATTCTTGAGTGAATCTTAGTCTTGAGCAAATCCTATTATTGCGAAATGAGAGGCATACTTTGCTTGAGGACAAGCAAAAAGCTAGTTGGGGCAAGTTGTTAGACGCTAAATTTCACTTATTTGATCTATTAAATGTTGGCATCTTTCACTCATTTTCGTCAATTAAGTGTTGAAAACCACTCTTGTTTTGGTTGGTTTGCAACATTATGAGAAAATCTCTTGGTACCTTTGACTTGTGTGTTATTGTGCAGGAATTAGACACAAAACAAGTGAAGAGTAAGACACAAGAAATGGGCAAGGAAACCAAGACAACATGCAAACCACCAAAATATTGTCACGCTCGCTAGGCGAGCAGGTAGCGAACGTGCCAGCGAAGAAAACCATTCTTGCTCGCTAGGCGAGAAGGCCAACGAACAGTCCCAGAGTTAGACAGAACCAATGTACCAAAAGTTCGCTAGGTTCGCTAGGCGAACAAGACAGATCCTGAATGTGTATTTAAGTGTTTTTCTTTTTTTAGGTCATAACTTTTCATAATTTCATTTTGTAACATTAGATACATCAGAACTTATCTCTCTTCATTTCTTCTAGAGAGAGAAACACAAAACCCTAAGAGGGAGGAGGTAAGAGCTTCGATCTCTTGTTGGGGTTGGATTGTAATCTTTTGATACCTTATGTATTTCATCTAATTTATGTTTGACAACTAGTTTGGATTCTCTATTGAATGATTATCTTTGATTGCTTATTTGTGGGTCTTGACAAAACCTTTTCACATCTTTGATCTCATATTTTCTTCTATTAATGAACAAACTTTTGACATGGTTTTGAAGTTGATATTCATGGTATCTTCTATGGTGTTGTGTTGGTTAAGTAGCATGGGTAGCATGGGTAGGATCAACATGATATTGTGTGGGTATGAGATAATAGTGATGAAGAACAATGTTCACAACCATTTGGCAGATTAGGTGAATACATGTAAAAAGGGTTAAGCGTATGTCCGTATTCTGATCATTGTATTTTATATGAAACAATCGTTTATCCGATATGGGTGTCGTCTTTGCTTACTTGTTTATCTTTGATTTGAACCGTGATAGAGATATACTTTTCAGATCTGGATATAAGATGATTACCTATTAGGTCCTAAATGCTAGAGATAGTTTTAGGCTTAGCATTTGCTTGAGTATCAGATCTTAATGTGTTGTGTTGTGTTTTTGTTGGAAGAGAGATCTCCAATGAGACAACATGGTTGTTTCCTCGACGCTGCTTTAGAGATAAGCTTTGTCATGAGTGATACGTGATGATATTAGACGAATGATTGCGGTGTGTTTAATTTGATCAGAAGAATGCATATGTTATCAATTGATGAAATCCAATCCCAACAACGCTCCGTTTATATTTCAGTTTTTATTTTATATTTCCTGTTTTTATTTATGGTTCCTTGACCCTTTTTAACAACAAGCTTATAAATGTAGAGGCTGTTGAACGACGTTCATATCGCATGAATCCCTGTGGAGACGACAAAACTGGGTACTTAATATTTTTTGCTTGCTGCTTTACCGCACCAACATGCAGCAAGTGTCAGTTTCTTTCTTAATTGCAATCAATATATAATGACGCATAGACCTACAATCATAGTCATTCTTGAAACTCGACGTGTGTCAGTGAAACTCAAGAAAGCTTTTGAGAAGTTGGGGTTTGAGGATTTCATTTATACTGATAATTATGGCTTTGCTAGAGGAATAAAGATAGGTTGGAAGGAGGAAGATGTGAGTGTGTCCTTGGCTCACAAGGAATTCCAATTCATCCAAGTGTGGAATTTTACTACTGTGTGCGCTAGTCCCAATGCTGAAAATAGGAAGCTGTTATGGGAGAAGTTAAAAGACATTAGTGAAACAAACCAGGTACCTTGGCTTAATATTACTGGAGATTTTAACGATATTGTTTACGACCATGAGAAGAGAGGAGGTGTGCCACTGTCTTAAAGTAGATGCAACAAATTTTTGAGGAGAATAGAGAAGGTGGCCTAATTGACATGGGGGTTGTTGGTGCAAAATACACTTAGAGAGGGCCAATTTTTAATGGAGGGCAACATATCTATGAGAGGCTTGATAGAGATATGTGCAATTATAACTAGAGATTGCAATTCCATAAAGGCTATGTGAAGGTTTTGCCAAGAATTGATTTCTCTGATCATCGCCCAATTCTTATTTGCCTTTATCAGTTGAGCGTGGAGGTTAGCAAGCAATGCTTTCGCTTTGAAAGTGTTTGGATATTTGATAATTCTTATCATGTTATGCTTAAGGAGACATAGAAAAATGATAAGACTATCCTGGAGAATTTAGATCAATTTAAAGAAGGAGTTAAGACTTGGAAGCTTAACACACTTAACCAAGTTACTAGAAAGAAAGCAATGATCATGCGTGGGATATGAGGCACAATAAAAACATCCAAATTAAGCGTAATGTTGGTGGTTTGAGGAAACTAGAACAGAAATTTCAAGCTGAGTTATTTGACATCCTTAAGAGAGAAGAGCAAATGTTGTTTCGACGATCTCGAGCCAAATGGTTGGTTGAAGGAGATAGGAATACAAGATACTACCATCTCAAAATTGTCCAACGAAGGAGAAGGAATAAGATTGTTATGATTAAGAATGATTATGGCACTTGGGTGGAGGATGAAAATCAAGTGAGGCAGTTGTTCATTAATAATTATAAGCAGTTGTTTGCATTGAATGATACCAGAATGCAGTGGGTGCAGACTGAATATTCGTTTCTTCAACTTGATATAGAGATAAATGGAAAACTTAGGAAACAATTAATCGACGAGGAGGTCAAGCATGTGTTGTTCTGCAAGAACCCCTGGAAAACCCCTAGTCCGGATGGGTTTCATGCAAGTTTATTTCAAAGGGCCTGGTCAATTGTTAGCACTAGTGTTTTTAATTTTATCCAAAAAGTTTGGAAGAATCCCAGTGAAATTTCAACTATCAATCAAACTGATATATGCTTGATCCCGAAATGAACCTTCTTAAGCTTATTACTTATTACATGCCCATTTCGTTGTGTAATGTTTTGTACAAAGTGGTGATCAAGATTGTAGTTGAAAGGTTTAAGATAAGTATTTTGATCCTTGTTTCTCCGTTCCAATTGGGTTTTGTGTCGGGAAGAAGCATTCACGAGAATATTATCTTTGCTCAAGAGATTGTCCATAGTATGAATAGGATGAAAGGGAATAAAGGGTGTTTTGCTATTAAAGTGGATTTATCGAAAGCTTACGATAAGTTGAGTTGGGAGTTTATTTGGAGAATTTTGGATGAAATTAAACTCCCCACTCAATTGACCAACATTATTATGCATGGTGTGACAAGTGTTGAGTCTAACATCAAGATGAATGGTTCTACATCTGAATACTTTCACCCTTGTAGAGGAATTCTTCAGAGAGATCCAATATCACCTTATTTGTTTGTATTGTGTATTAATAAGTTATCTCATACTATCATGCATCTAGTGGACCTCGGTGCCGAACCTTCTTCTATTTGGAGAGGCAACTTCAAGCTAAATGTAGTGTGTTACTAGAATACTAAACAAATTTTGTAACATGTCTGGTGAGCAAGTTAGCCATGAAAAGATTAGAATATTTTTTTCTAAGAATGTTAGTAGAGCTAGAAGGGAGCAGTTGGTGCACATGTCGGGTTTTATTGAAACACACTCTCTTGGAAAGTATCTTGGAGTGCCTTTGAATGGTATATCTCTTAAAAGGCGTGATTTCTAATACGCCATTGATCAAGTCAATTTGAATATGAAAATGTGGAAAGGGAAACAACTTGCCTTTGCAAAAAGAATAACATTAACTAAGAGTGTAATAAAAGCATTACCAATCTACTATATGATGACAAATGTGGTTCCAAAGGCCTGCATCAATGAGTTTAATAAGATTCAGAGACATTTCATTTGGGGAGATTAGCACAACAAAAGGAAATATCATGCTGTCAATTGGAGTAAGATCACGAGACCCAAAAAGGAAAGAGGATTGGGTTTGCGCAATCTTGAAACCACCAATACAACTTGTATATCTAAATTAGCTCTGAAGTTACATAATGGCAAGGATGATCTTTGGAGATAAGTTGTTTGGGGGAAAGTATGGTAGAGATAACAACAACAACAACAACAACAACAACATCAGTGTCAGAAACACGAACTCAAGCTTTTGGAAAGGCATGGTGAATATTTGGCCTCAGATTTCTCAGAATTGTCTTTGGGCTATTGGTTATAGTGGTAGTATTGAAGCTTGGAGTGATTGCTGGGTGGGCAAGGGTATCAGAATTGCTGACCTTGGAATCACGATTCCCATGCACCTCCATGCAGCAAAAGTTAAAGACTTGGTGACTAAGTGTCACACCCTAATTTTTGACCTTAAGATCCCACCTCTGCTTTGTTTTTGCTTTCTTTATTCTTTATGCTGTTGTTTGCATATTTTGTCCTAACCCACCTGCGCAGGCATTTTGAAGTCAGGAGGAGGCCATTTTTTATTCTTATTCAGGATGAGCTTAAAGTCTCAATTTGAGCTGGACCATTTTTATCAACACCATGAAAGCTCTTCGAAGTTGCAAGCCTACCATGCAAGCTTAGATCCAAAATGGAAAAGACTTATTTGCGTTAGAATCTAATTCAAAGCCAAAGAGAGTCAACACCAAAAACTTCAGAGTCAACAGCTCCAGAAGCAACTTTAGAGTCAACTTCTTCAGAGTCAACAGCTCCAGAAGCAACTTCAGAGTCAACTTCTTCAGAAGCAAGTTTCCAGAGTCAACTTCTTCAGAAGCAGTTCCAGAATCAGCGCTCCAGAAGCAGCTTCAGAGTCAACAGATCTATAAGCAACTTCAGAGCCAACAGCTCCAGAAGCAACTTCAGAAGCAAGTTTCCAGAAGCAGCTTCAGAGTCAACAGCTCCAGAAGCAACTTCAAAGTCAACTTCTTCAGAAGTAGATCTAGAGTCATTTCCTCCAGATGCAACGTCCCAAAAGCATTTCTTCAGAAGCAGCTCCAGAAGCATTTCTTCAAAAGCAGCTCTAGAAGCATTTTTTCAGAAGCAGCTCCAGAAGCATTTTTGTTCAGAAGCAGCTCCAGAAGCATTTTTTCAAAAGCAGCGTCCACAACGCCAGATCCAGCTTAAACAGCAGAAATTCAAAACTTCCCAAAATTGGAGCCAGCATGCTTTTGACAAGATCAGACCAAATAGGAAAGAATTGAAGTGATTTCCCAATCTCAGCAAACATGCTCTCGACAAGAATCATTCAAAAAGGAAATTTGTTAAGGCCATATTCATTGGAGGCCCATCCATTCCTCTATAAAAGCATGTGGGATTTCTAAGATCAACACACAAGAAGATCACCAACAACACACGAAAATTCTTACTAAGGGAAACCTCTACCACAATCTCCCTAGGAAAATCTGCCACGAATAGAAAAGTTAGAGCTTCCGCCGCCACTCTCAAACCGTCGCTGCCACTTATTCTTGGGTAAAACTCTCTTTCCAATTTCCTTTTGTATATTTGATGTTTTGATGATGTGCAGGAGATGAAGAATAAGAGGAGAAAAAAAAGTAGCAGAAGAAGGAGAGAGTGGAAAATGGGAGTCTCATCCCAATGTTGTTGTTTGTTCTTTTCTTACTTTTATGTTGTTCTCGCTGTAATATTATAATTTGATGTATCATCACACATACACACACACACACACACACACACACCATACACACACCTTGATCTCCAGCGGATCAAACTCCTTTCCCTTTCGTTTATCCGTTTCGTTTTCCAATTACCTTTTTAATTAATTAAATAACATAAACAACTTTTCTTAATAAATTAACTTCACATTTTTATAATAATAAAAAGAAGAACCTTTTATAATTAAATCAATCTCTTTATCTTAATAAAATAAATCACCATTTTTTTTATAAGACAAAAACAATAAAACCCTTTTATCTAATAAACCTTTATTATCTAAATTAATTCAAATCTTTTGCTAATAAATTAATTATTAATTTTCTTAAAATCAAATCACAACCAAACCTTTTATTAGAAAAAATTAAAACCAAACTTTTTATTTAAATAATCAAAAATCAAATAAGTCAACACTTTTCTTAAATCAAATAATATAACTTTTTCTTAAAATCAACCTTTCTTATAATTAATCAACTTCGCCTAAAATTAACATCGCGCGCTTGCACTCACTTTCACGCACTTAGCGCTTTCATGCGTGTGTATGTCTTTTATTTCCTGCATTTATTTACCGCAATTTATTTTCTCGTCCTTTACATTCTCGCATCGCATAAACGTCCAAAGGAAGAACCTGCACGTAACGCAAAACTTGTGTGCATGCATATCATTTGCATCATCTTCCCCTTGATCCTTAATCCCATTCAAGTCGATCTTTTAAGTTAGATCCTACTCCATAGGAAGAACCTTTTCTTTTATCTTGCAACTTAGATAAACAATTCAACTCACTCAAACAATTCAAACACATTAGAGAATAAGATGTTAATCATCTTAAGCGAGATAGAACTTCGGCCCCATATCAATACAATCAATATGTAGGGACTTTTCCGCTTAAGAGAGATAGTGGCATACTCGTCGATAAATCCGAGTACTCGAGCCCTTCTCTTAAGACAATGCAAAGACTATTTTTCTACAATTTGTGGTGGCTAAAATCAAGTAATCTCCCTTAAAATGACAACTCGTCTTTTCTCCTAAACCATTCAATCAACTACCCTCATCCCTTAAGAACTTTGACCATAGTCAAAGAATCCCTCAAACCTTTTAGAGGAACTACAAATGCTCTGATTCCATTCCCGTCAGGATATGTAGGCCTAAGATGTGATATCTTATCGAGTATACTTAGAATTAAACCACTAGGTCTTCTACCCCTTAAGCAGATAACCCATTAGCAATAAACAAACATAAAACAAGAGGTTCCTGTAGAGTACTACAGAAACTTAGGATGCTAGCACCTTCCCTAAGTTTAACCAACCCCCGAACCTAAAACTCTCTAACCTTTGCATGTGCATTGCATTGTGGGTAATTCGATCTTTTTCCCTTCCTTTGGACAAATTAAAGACCGGTTGCAAATGAATTAAGATTCAAGTTAATCAATAGCTTGACATCAAAATTTCACCGCGACACTAAGCATGGTGACTGGGATTGGGAGATTCTTGAGTCTTGGCTACCAACGGAGATTCAAGCTAGAATTAGATGTCAACTTCCACCTGCTAGTAATGTGGGTTCGAACGAGATGATGCGCATTGGAAAGTTTATCAAGCAATTTTGTGTAGGCTCGATGTATAGTATGCTAGATGAAAATAATGAGCTCATGGAGAATGATGTTTGGCCATCTATTTGGAGAATACAGGTTAATCAGAGGACACAAACTTTTATATGGCCCCTAATGCATGATGGGTTGCTTACTAATGTGAAGAAAAGTCGGTTTGGAAGTGGAAGTGTGTTGTGCTCTTGTCTGTCAAGATGTGGAATACTTTTCATGTTCTTCGTGATTGCCCGCGTGTCATGGCGTTGTGGATGTCGGAGGTCCATACTAACATGAGAGTTGTATTTTTTGCAGGTGATTTACATCATTGGATTTATATTAACTTACACAGTAATATGGGGTGGCAAGACAATGAGGATTGGAAGCTCTTTTAGGCAACTGCGTGTCATAACCTTTGGAGGTGGCACAATAAAGAATTGCATGAAGCTAATTCTTTTAGACCAGCTAACACGGTGCAACATATAAAATTGCTAGTTCATGACTACAAACAAGTTGATGCTGCTACAGGTATTAATCGAGATCATCGTAGGGAACTAGTATTAAATAAATGGAAAGCCTAGTGCGTTAGGTAGAGTGAAGCTTAATACGGATGACATTAGAGATAAAAGTGGTAAGGCGAGTTGCGGGGGCATTATCAGAGAGGGTGAAGGATAATGGATAAAAGGTTATTCTAAGTTCATTGGACCTGTGATAGTTACATCTCTGAA